TGCCTGCTCCCGAGCAGCACCTGGGTCAGACTGGTCCTGCTTTGGGGAAACTTTTTTTTCTTTTTGAGACGGAGTCTCGCTCAGTTGCCCAGGCTGGAGTGCAGTGGCGCGATCTTGGCTCACTGCAACCTCCACCTCACAGGTTCAAGTGATTCTCCTGCCTCAGCCTCCCAAGTAGCTGGGATTACAGGCACATGCCACCACGCCCGACTCTTTTTTTTGTATTTTTAGTAGAGACGGGGTTTCACCATGTTAGCCAGCTGATCTTAAACTCTTGACCTCAGGTGATCCACCCATCTTGGCCTCCCAAAGTGCTGGGATTACAGGCGTGAGTCACCACGCCCAGCTGGAGGAACATTATTACAGGATCCCACTGCATGTAAAGTAAATTCCAGACCCCCGTGTGCTCCTTACCCCTGAGCTGTCCTGTCTGTTCTTCCCTCTCCCTGGCACTCACTGCAGTCGCCAACCTCAGTCCATCCCTGAGACCCTTCAGCCCCCAGCTGTCACACGCTGACACCCTCTTGCTGCTAACAAGCCCTCCACGGCTCTCCTTGTGAGTTGCGTCTTCCTGGGATACCAGACTAGGCGCTCTGCCATGTCGGGGTGGCCCTTCGTCACCCAGTTCTTTAAGCACTGACACGGGGGGGAAAGGGTTGAAAGAACCATGGATGGTCAGGGGGCTGGACAGGATGGCTCCCTGACATCCCGCCCACCCTGGACTTCTGTAGTTCTTAGATCTGGGCTGCAGCTCATAGGCAGGACATGTCTGAGAGACCGAGGGGGCTCTTTGGCCTCTCTGGAGTCCTGAGAAAGAGGAGCAGCGGCAGAGGACAACTAGGCACTGACCGAGAGCCTCTCCCCATGGGGCCCTTGGAGCCTCCCTTGCCAGTCCCACCTCAGCACTTCCTAAAGCACAGGGTGGCCCCTAGCATGGCTGCCTTCTGTCCTTCCGCCAGGAGCTGTAAGGCAGGGCTCAAGCTCCTGGAACCGTGGACACTTCACTGAGCACGCACTGGACACATGACTGAACCCTAGAAACAAGTGCTATCATCACCCCCATTTCCATGGGAGAAGTCAAGGCTATGAGAGGCTGAGTGAGCTGCCCACAACACTAAAGAGGGGGAGCCTTCTGCCCCTCCCAAGGGAAATGGCGGCCCTCTGGAAGCAGTAAGGACAGCTCATCCAGCCTTGGGCAGATGCCAGGTTCAGTCTGGAGCAGGGGCAGTGGAAGTGCTATGGTTGGACTCAGCTGCTCAGACACACCCACGGCATGTCTCCCGAGCTGACAGGGGAGCAGCCTCCTGTGCACACTGGACTGCGGGTGGGGTGATGGGATTTCTCTCTGTGTAAAGTGTGATAAGATGAAGCCCAAGTCACGGCCTGCCAGCTGAGTCATCACCACACCCAGGTGCACCTGGGCAGGACACGGCCACCCAGACTGCAGAAAACCAGAGGGTGGGGGCAGGAGGCGGCCTCAGGAAAGCCACTCTCTCCCCTCCCTCCCCACGCAGAGGCCCGGGAGTCTCCAAGGATGGGCCGGGGGCCTGCCGGAGCTCACCAGCTGCTTGGGCACCCTCCGCAGTAGCAGGGACCTTCCTGAAGTCCCTCTGCCTGATGGGCAGTGTCCCTTAGAGATGAAGAAGGGGGTGAAGGCCAGAAAAGAAAAGGGCAGAGAGCTTCAGGGCAGGAAGGCTAACCTGGAGCAGAAAGATGAGCCGAGATGGCGCCAGAGGACCCACAAGAGGCCACAGCCACAGCTGCTTTGAGCTTCTCCCTGGGTCTCCCTGTGTGAACCTGCCCTGAAGAACTGAGGAAGGCCATGGAAAAAGAGCAACGTGGAAACTGGGAGCTTCTTAGAATGCTCGGTAATAGTCAGATGGCTAAATTATGGAACATGTATATGATGAAGCAGTATAGAGTACTTTTTTTTTTTTGAGTATGAGCCTCGCTCTTGTCGCCCATGCTGGTGTGCAGTGACACGATCTCGGCTCACTGAAACCTCCACCTCCTGGGTTCAAGTGATTCTCCTGCCTCAGCCTCCTAAGTAGCTGGGATTACAGGCATGCACCACCATGCCCAGTTAATTTTGTATTTTTAGTAGAGACGGGGGTTTCACCATGTTGGCCAGGCTAATCTCGAACTCCTGACCTCATGCCTTGGCCTCCCAAAGTGCTGGGATGACAGGCGTGAGCTGCTGTGTTTGGCAATATTTACAGTTCTTAAAAATAATGTCTTCAGGTTGGGCGTGGTGGCTCACCTTTAATCCCAGCATTCTGGGAGCTGAGGCGGGTGGATCACGAGGTCAGGAGATTGAGACCACCCTGGCTAAAACGGTGAAACCCCGTCTCTATTAAAAATACAAAAAATTAGCCAGGCGCGGTGGCGGGCGCCTGTAGTTCCAGCTACTCGGGAGGCTGAGGCAGGAGAATGGCCTGAACCCGGGAGGCGGAGCCTGCAGTGAGCAGAGATCACGCCACTGTACTCCAGCCTGGGCAACAGAGCGAAACTCTGTCTCAAAAAAAAAAAAAAAAAAAGTCTTCAAAGGCCAGGTGTGGTGGCTTATGCCTGTCATCCCAGTACTTTGGGAGGCTGAGGTGGGTGGATCACAAGGTCAAGACCAATATAGCCAATATAGTGATACCCCGTCTCTACTAAGAAAAAAAAAAAATACCTGGGCCTGGTGGTGTATCCCTGTAGTCCCAGCTACTCAGGAGGCCGAGGCAAGAGAATTGCTTGAACTCAGGAGGTGGAGGTTGCAGTGAGCCGAGATTGCGCCATTGCACTCCAGCTCGGGTGACAGAGTGAGACTTCACCTCAAAAATTAAAAAAAAAAAAAAAAGGCTCCAAAGAATAATTCATGTTAGAAAATGCCTGTAATTTAAGATGAAGGAGGGAAGAAGGACACCAGATTGTACATACAATAAGATAGGCCCGCTAAGATGCCACCTCCTCTGAGAGCTTTCTGTGACCACCTAACCTGCCCCCAACTATGTCCCCCGCACCAGGCTTTGCTTCTTTCCCTCACACTTACTGACATTACAGTAGTTATCTGTCAAAATGTTTATTGGCTGTTGCTCCACTAAACTATAAACTCCGTGAGAATGGGGACTCTGCCTTGTCTCACTCTCTATCGGCAGCCTCGCATGTGGCAGGTGTTCAATAAATAGGAAACTGTTATCCCTACAGATATTCTTTTAAAAATTAAAAAAGCCGGGGACAGGCATGGCGGCTCACTCCTGTAATCCCAGCACTTTGGGAGGCCGAGGGGGGTGGATCACTCGAGGTCAGGAGTTCCAGACCAGCCTGGCCAACATGGCAAAAACCTCTCTACTAAAAATACAAAAATTAGCCAGGCATGGTGGCACACACATGCAACCTCAGCTACTCGGGAGGCTAAGGTGGGAGAATTGCTTGAACCCAGGAGGCGGAGGTTGCAGCCAGCTGCGATCGCGCCAACTGTGCTCCAGCGTAGATGACGGAGAGACTCTATCTCAGAAACAAAAGAAATGGCCAATACTAAGTGTTGGCAAGGAAGTGGAGCATATAGCATAACCTGGTGTAACTATGTGGAAAGTGATTTGGCAGCTTCTCATGACGTTAAACGCACATCTACCCTAGGACTGAGCAACTCCACTCCTAGGTGAGAAATGAGTACATATTTGTATGAACATGATCCTAACAGCTTCATTCATAAAGCTTCCAAACTAGGAACAACTCAAATCTCCCTCTACAGGTAGATGGATAAACATCCAAAGGAATGGACGATGATACTGCAACCATTTAGATGAATCTGAAAAACGTCATGTTGAGTGAAAGAAACGAGATACGAGAGTAGATCCTGCATGATTCTGTTTGTATGAAGTTCAAGAACAGGCAAAACAAATCCAGGGGATAGAGGTTAGAATAGTGGTTGCCTTGGAGTGGGAGATACTGACCAAGCGTGGGTGTGAAGGGAATTTCTATGTCTTGGTTTAGAAGCTGCTTACATGGATGTACACATAGCTCAGTGAATTTCAACATTCACCAAACTGGCACTTAAGATATGTGCATTTTATTCTGTTGATCATACTGCAATCTTTTTTTTTTTTTTTTTTTTTTGAGACCAAGTCTCGCTCTGTCGCCCAGGCTAGAGTGCAGTGGTACCATCTTGGTTCACTGCAAGCTCCGCCTCCCAGGTTCACACCATTCTCCTGCCTCAACCTCTCAAGTAGCTGGGACTACAGGCATGCACCACCATGCCCAGTTAATTTTGTATTTTTTTAGTAGAGACGGGGTTTCACCATGTTGGCCAGGCTGGTCTTGACCTCCTGACCCCTCGTGATCCACCCACCTCAGCCTCCCAAAGAACTGGGATTACAGGCATGAGCCACCGGGCCCCGCCGCCATACTGCAATCTGAAAAACGATTATAAAACAGAAAACAGAACAAGTTCTGACTGCCTAATGAACATGCTCTGGACAAGACAGAGAAAACAAGCAGCAAGGGCTGGGCCTTCGAGACTTCAGGAAACACAGCAACTCTATACGAGAACCCTGAGGGAGGCAAAAGAGGAAACCCCACATGAAAGCAAGATGAGAAAGCTAGAGATTCGGGGAGGTCAGGTGGGTGACCTCAGCTCACACGCCATGTCGGGCACTGGTGCAGGCAGCGACAACCCGGACCATGAGGGGAAGGTCAAAGGATGGTCCCAGGGATTAAATGAGGTGATGGTGGTCGAGCACGGTGGCTCACACCTGTAATCCCAGCACTTTGGGAGGCCGAGGGTGAATCACCTGAGGTCAGGAGTTCAAGACCACCCTGGCCAACATGGCGAAACTGCATCTCTACTAAAAATACAAAAATTAGCTGGGCATGGTGGCATTCGCCTGTAGTCCCAGCTACTTGGGAGGCTGAGGCAGGAGAATGGCTTGAACTCGGGAGGCGGAGGTTGCAGTAAGCCCAGATCGTGCCACTGCACTCCAGCCTGGGCAACAGGGTGAGACTCCATCTCAAAAACAAAACAAAACAACAAAACAAGGTGATGCTTCTGACAAGCGCTTAGCTGGCACCTGGCACCTGGTGGCTGGGCAGGCCCTCGGTGAGGGCAGCTCAAGATACAGCTACATCTGGGGACTCGCCCATGCTGAGATGAATCAACCCAGGGTCAAAGTCTTCACAGGGGGCCGGGCGTGGTGGCTCACGCCTGTAATCCAGCATATTGGGAGGCCGAGGCCAGTGGATCACCTGAGGTCAGGAGCTCTAGACCAGCCTTGCCAAGATGGTGAAACTCCGTCTCTACTAAAAATACAAAAAATTAGCCAGGCATGGTGGCAGGGGCCTGTAATCCCAACTACACGGGGGTGCTGAGGCAGGGAATCGCTTGAACCCGGGAGGCGGAGGTTGCAGCGAGCCAAGCT